ACTGTTCCACTAACAACAGTTGCAATGCATCGGCCAGGGTGGTCGCCTGACATCCCTGCATTCAGTTCTGGGCTGCCGGTGCATTTGGAAAGCCCATTCAGCAAACGAGTCTCTGTTCTTTTTCCGCAATCCACAAAACTTCCTTTGGTACTACACTGCCTAATGTATGCTAAAACAACCAAAGAAGACATATATAGCACTTACCTGCAAGAAAGGGCAGAAGACATGAGCAGATGCCTGCAGGACACTGAAACAAAAGGAATGATGGAAAACAAACGGCTGTGGCAAATAAAACAAACATTTAAAGGAAACCTGGATACTGGGAATTCCAGGGACGGATTACAGGAATGAACCCAGAAAAACCCAGCATAAAGAAAACCAGACATAGAATAGAAAACCAAAAAATCAAGCAAAACTAAACAAGAATTGTAAAAGGAGTACTGGATACCAAAAGCCATCACCAGAATGATCCGCAGCATGGAACAGGATTTGACACTGAGAAGACGTCTAATCCTGGCTCCTAATGTGAAATCCTGCTAAACTCTATATATCATTTAACTCTCCTGATTTATTCCAACCAACCTGCATTGTTTCAAGTCTACTCTTTTCCAAGAAGCTTGGTAACAAAACCTGATCTCCAATACGAGCCTGCTTTATTTCATACTGGACTTTATTACCTTTTTACTTTGTTGAAAATGAAACCAACACAACCAGCATTACTACCTCCAAAAGAGACTGTTTACCTAAACTAATAACTAACCTGAATTCCTAACTCCTTTATTATATTCTGTTTATTTCTGTCATATTATATTATGTTTGCCTGTTACTTATAATTTCACTTATAGGTTTCCCTGTTTCCTGATAACCTGTTTGGGGCATATTGCCTAAACCACTATTTGTTATCTTTCCTCAAATTACCTATAATTCCACTTATAGGTTCTCCTCTACTCCTCACCTATAATTTCGTTTATAGGTACTCAATCTACCTTCTGTGTATAAACTCATTTAAAGAATACCTGTCTGGGGCTTATTGCCCAAACCCTTTGTAGCAGACCCTGGGTAACCCAACTGGTTACCTCCGCTATTAATAAATGAAGCGACTGGACAACACACAGTTCCAGGGGTACAACAACACTTTATTAACCACACTCAGCTTTGTACTTTCCCCATGCAAGGGGTGGAACACACAATTACAATGTCCCGTCCCAGGGTCCTCCCCCTCCCGAGGGTCACAAACCGGAACCTCAGTCCCTTTGTCCCCTGTTCCCGCCATTCAGTGTCCCCTCCCGGGTTCCTGTGCGTGTGAAAGGGACTCTAGTTCCTTGTCCCTAGTTCCCTCCTCCGGTGACCAGGGGTCTTTATCCCATGAGCCTCAGTATCTGGGAGTCCCAGCGCGGGACAGCTTCCTGCCTCTGCAACTCCCAGCTCCAGAAAACGCACGAAACCGCCATTGTCCCCAAGGAATGTCCCCACTAGTCTCTGGGACCTCCACAACGCTGTCCAGTGCGAATCTCCTCTGTTCGTGAAGCCCCTGTGTGAAATCAGACAAGGGAAGCGTCTACTTTCGGGATACGAATGCTCCTCCTGGGCGGTGTTTGTCCATACAAACGGCGGCCACCCAGGGGAAGTACTCATGAATCACTTCCCTTGCGGTTTCACACTTGTGAAATGCTATTGCGGTTTTGCAAGTTGCCAACGTTCTAATTGATTGGTGAGAACATATCAAGGGGCACTGGGGAGGTCCTTGTTTGTGAACCAAACGAGACAAGAAGCAATCCGTGAATGCTCCCCTTGGACATCTAACAAAAGGGCTGCCACCCAGAGTCTGCATGCGCAGGGGCTTCTGTTGTGGTTTTCACACCTCGTTAGTGAGGTGTGAACGTTCTACAAAATATATGAAATGTACTTACAATTTGTAACATACTGTACTGTATGTTAGTTTCTACTTGAAGAAGCCTGTATAGGCTAAACATGTTTAGAAACTTAATATTTCTGTCTGTGTAATAAAGGAATTTTGTTGGCTATATACCACATTTGCCATATTCCTTTCTTTTTAGTTTTTATACTTTTTGGCCTGACATCCCTTTTGCGGTTTCTAAGAAGCACAAAGAATCACTAGGTGGGGATTATACCACCCACATGTTATACACCGAGCAGTGAGTCTGCTCGGCAAATTGTAAGTACATTTCATATATTTTACTTTGATTCTTAAAGATACAGTAAGCACTACAGTATATTCTGCCACCTTTTATCTTTTGGGTTGGATTACTCTGCTGCTATACAAGATTGGAAGCTTGGAGAACTACATATATCCTTGAGTGGGGATTATTCCATACATTGTATATACATACCATACCATTGGAGTTCCCCTTTTGCTTTCTCTCCTACTGGATCTCAAGTTTTACTCTGTGACACCACTACTATCAATTAAGTCTACTGCTCCATAAAGAACCTTCGCCACTATTTTGAACTGCCTTACTTGGACTCTTGTTAAGTTATTTTATATATCTATTTACCTATATATTTATTAATTACAGGCACAACCTTTCAGCAATGTTGTCTTTCAAATGACATTTGTATTGGGAGGGTACTAGAGGGGACACCTCTCCTTATAGGTGTGCTGCCCACATACTTTTTAAATATAATCCCTGTGGCGTGTTAGCGCTGGTCCTTTTTTACTTTTCTAGTTAAAGGGTTAATGGCTGAGGTCACTGTGAGGGATTTAAAGGGTTAATGGCTGAGGTCACTGTGAGGGAGTTAAAGGGTTAATGGCCGAGGTTAGTGTGAGGGAGTTAAGGGGTTAATGGCCGAGGTTAGTGTGAGGGAGTTAAGGGGTAAATGGCAGAGGTTAGTGTGAGGGAGTTCAAGGGTTAATAGCTGAGGTTAGTGTGAGGAAGTTAAGGGGTTAATGGCTAAGGATATTGTGAGGGAGTTAAGGGGTTAATGGCCGAGGTTAGTGTGAGGGAGTTAAGGGGTAAATGGCAGAGGTTAGTGTGAGGGAGTTCAAGGGTTAATAGCTGAGGTTAGTGTGAGGAAGTTAAGGGGTTAATGGCTAAGGATATTGTGAGGGAGTTAAGGGGTTAATGGCCGAGGTTAGTGTGAGGGAGTTAAGGGGTAAATGGCAGAGGTTAGTGTGAGGGAGTTAAAGGGTTAATAGCTGAGGTTACTATGGGGGAGTTAAAGGGTTAATGGCTGAGGTTACTGTGAGGGAGTTAAGGGGTTAATGGCTGAGGTTACTGTGGGGGAGGTGTAAAGGGTTAATGGCTGAGGTTAGTGTGAGGGAGTTAAGGGGTTATGGCTGAGGTTGTGAGGGAGTTATGGGGTTAATGGCTGAGGTTAGTGTGAGGGAGTTAAAGGGTTAATGGCTGAGGTTACCGTGGAGGGAGTTAAAGGGTTAATGGCGAGGCCGTGAGGAGCATGGGTTAATGGCTGAGTTACTGTGAGGGAGCAAAGGGTTAATGGCTGAGGTTAGTGTGAGGGAGTTAAGGGGTTAATGTCTGAGGTTACTGTGAGGGAGTTAAAGGGTTAATGGCTGAGTTTACTGTGAGGGAGTTAAGGGGTTAATGGCTGAGGTTAGTGTGAGGGAGTTAAGGGGTTAATGGCTGAGGTTAGTGTGAGGGAGTTAAAGGGTTAATGGCTGAGGTTACTGTAAGGGAGTTAAGGGGTTAATGGCTGAGTTACTATGAGGGAGTTAAAGGTTTAATGGCTGAGGATACTGTGAGGGAGTTAAGGGGTTAATGGCTGAGGTTACTGTGAGGGAGTTAAAGGGTTAATGGCTGAGGATACTGTGAGGGAGTTAAGGGGTTAATGGCTGAGGTTACTGTGAGGGAGTTAAAGGGTTAATGGCTGAGGATACTGTGAGGGAGTTAAGGGGTTAATGGCTGAGCTTACTGTAAGGGAGTTAAAGGGTTAATTGCTGAGGTTACTGTGAGGGAGTTAAAGGGTTAATGGCTGAGGTTACTGTGAGGGAGCTAAGGGGTTAATGGCTGAGGTTAGTGTGAGGGAGATAAAGGGTTAATGGCTGAGATTACTGTGAGGGAGTTAAAGGGTTAATGGCTGAGTTTACTGTGAGGGAGTTAAGGGGTTAATAGCTGAGGTCACTGTGAGGGAGTTAAGGGGTTAATAGCTGAGGTTAGTGTGAGGGAGTTAAGGGGTTAATGGTTGAGGTTAGTGTGAGGGAGTTAAGGGGTTAATGGCTGAGGTTACTGTGAGGGAATTAAGGGGTTAATGGCTGAGGTAACTGTGAGGGAGTTAAAGGGTTAATGGCTGAGGTCACTGTGAGGGAGTTAAGGGGTTAATGGCTGAGGTTACTGTGAGGGAGTTAAGGGGTTAATGGCTGAGGTTACTGTGAGGGAGTTAAGGGGTTAATGGCTGAGGTTAGTGTGAGGGAGTTAAAGGGTTAATGGCTGAGGTCACTGTGAGGGAGTTAAGGGGTTAATGGCTGAGGTTACTGTGAGGGAGTTAAGGGTTAATGGCTGAGGTTCCTCTGAGGGAGTTAAGGGGTTAATGGCTGAGGTTACTGTGCGGGAGTTAAAGGGTTAATGGCTGATGTTACTGTGAGGGAGTTAAAGGGTTAATGGCTGAGGTCACTGTGAGGGAGTTAAGGGGTTAATGGCTGAGGTTAGTATGAGGGAGTTAAGGGGTTAATGGCTGAGGTTAGTGTGAGGGAGTTAAAGGGTTAATGGCTGAGGTCACTGTGAGGGAGTTAAGGGGTTAATGGTTGAGGTTACTGTGAGAGAGTTAAGGGGTTAATGGCTGAGCTTACTGTGAGGGAGTTAAAGGGTTAATGGCTGAGGTTAGTGTGAGGGAGTTAAAGGGTTAATGGCTGAGGTTAATGTGAGGGAGTTAAGGGGTTAATGGCTGAGGTTAGTGTGAGGGAGTTAAAGTGTTAATGGCTGAGGTTAGTGTGAGGGAGTTAACGGGTTAATGGATGAGGTTACTGTGAGGGAGTTAAAGGGTTAATGGCTGAGGTTACTGTGAGGGAGTTAAGGGGTTAATGGCTGAGGTTAGTGTGAGGGAGTTAAGGGGTTAATGGCTGAGGTTAGTGTGAGGGAGTTATGGGGTTAATGGCTGAGGTTACTGTGAGGGAGTTAAGGGGTTAATGGCTGAGGTTAGTGTGAGGGAGTTAAGGGGTTAATGGCTGAGATTACTGTGAGGGAGTTAAGGGGTTAATGGCTGAGGTTAATGTGAGGGAGTTAAAGGGGTTAATGGCTGAGGTTAGTGTGAGGGAGTTATGGGGTTAATGGCTGAGGTTACTGTGAGGGAGTTAAGGGGTTAATGGCTGAGGTTAGTGTGAGGGAGTTAAAGGGTTAATGGCTGAGGTTAGTGTGAGGGAGTTAAAGGGTTAATGGCTGAGGTTAGTGTGAGGGAGTTATGGGGTTAATGGCTGAGGTTACTGTGAGGGAGTTAAAGGGTTAATGGCTGAGGTCACTGTGAGGGAGCTAAGGGGTTAATGGCTGAGGTTACTGTGAGGGAGTTAAGGGGTTAATGGCTGAGGTTACTGTGAGGGAGTTAAGGGGTTAATGGCTGAGGTTACTGTGAGGGAGTTAAGGGGTTAATGGCTGAGGTTACTGTGAGGGAGTTAAAGGGTTAATGGCTGACAAGCTGTTCTCTGTTTACCGCTCTCCCCACGGGAAGCTCACACTGAGCCCGGATTGGACGGTCATCCTGTCAGTCAGAGCAGTCTGACCAATAACAATGATTTCCTGATAGATCTCTCTCCTCCCACTCTGCTATGATTGGCTGGTGGGCGGGATTAATTTGCCATTATTTCACTGTGATTGGCTGGTGGGCGGGATTAATTAGACATTGTCTCACTGTGATTGGCTGGTGGGCGGGATTAATTTGCCATTGTCTCACTGTGATTGGCTGCCGTGATTTCTCTTTCTATGTTTGAAGTGAACCGTTAATTTTCCCGCCTCGCGATCTGATTGGTTACTCGGCGCTCAGAACTTTGTGATTGGAGGAGGCTGTCGCGTCATCCTCTGCGCCGGGAGTAAAATCAGAGCGCTGACCGTGTGCGAGGTGAGAGCGGTCCCGGAGACCGCGGGTTATGGAGGTGGGAGCCCGCTGCTCGCTGGCCGGGGAGGGGGCGGGGTCACTGTGTGTTTTACATGAAGTGGTTATGGTGTGTGGATCATTCCCTGCAAGTTATTAAACTGACTGACACAGCGTGTCCCCTGAAACTGACTGACACAGCGTGTCCCCTGAAACCGACTGACACACCGTGTCCCCTGAAACCGACTGACACAGCGTGTCCCCTGAAACCGACTGACACAGTGTGTCCCCTGAAACCGACTGACACAGCGTGTCCCCAGAAACCGACTGACACACCGTGTCCCCTGAAACCGACTGACACAGCGTGTCCCCAGAAACCGACTGACACACCGTGTCCCCTGAAACCGACTGACACAGCGTGTCCCCTGAAACCGACTGACACAGCGTGTCCCCTGAAACCGACTGACACAGCGTGTCCCCAGAAACCGACTGACACAGCGTGTCCCCTGAAACCGACTGACACAGCGTGTCCCCTGAAACCGACTGACACAGCGTGTCCCCTGAAACCGACTGACGCAGCGTGTCCCCTGAAACCGACTGACGCAGCGTGTCCCCTGAAACCGACTGACGCAGCGTGTCCCCTGAAACCGACTGACACGCCGTGTCCCCTGAAACCGACTGACACGCCGTGTCCCCAGAAACCGACTGACACGCCGTGTCCCCAGAAACCGACTGACACGCCGTGTCCCCAGAAACCGACTGACACAGCGTGTCCCCAGAAACCGACTGACACAGCGTGTCCCCTGAAACCGACTGACACAGCGTGTCCCCTGAAACCGACTGACACAGCGTGTCCCCAGAAACCGACTGACACAGCGTGTCCCCAGAAACCGACTGACACACCGTGTCCCCTGAAACCGACTGACACACCGTGTCCCCTGAAACCGACTGACACAGCGTGTCCCCAGAAACCGACTGACACAGCGTGTCCCCAGAAACCGACTGACACAGCGTGTCCCCAGAAACCGACTGACACAGCGTGTCCCCTGAAACCGACTGACACGCCGTGTCCCCTGAAACGCCGTGTCCCCTGAAACTGACACAGTGTGTCCCCTGAAACCGACTGACACGCCGTGTCCCCTGAAACCGACTGACACGCCGTGTCCCCTGAAACCGACTGACACAACCCGTACCCCGAAACTGAGACAATCCGTACCCTGTGTTAAAGGGTTTCTCCATGCATCATGACTACGTTGGTGCTTGAAGTCTGT